AATTATGTGTCTAAACATGTTTAGAAGCAATATTAACGTTTGAATACGTCCTCGTTGATTAGTTAAATTAATTATATTTAGTTAATTGCCCACTTACAAAGCAATTTGATTTTTTCTACTATATGAACAAAGTCAACTAAACTCTAGAAGAATTGGTTACGGCCCTTGAAATCTGAAAAGGACGTCAAACACAAATGTTTAAAAGCGCACGGCTCGGTGTGCTGGTTTTTTTTTTTGGCCAGTTTTTTTATAGGACGTCAAACACAATGTCTGTAGGACCCGTTTAGTACCGATTAAAATCCAATTAAAATTGAAAATATAGTCGTTATTGGGCCCCACTCATCTAATAAAAGTCAACAATAACGACTAATTTTTCAGTTTTAATCGAATTTTAATCTCTACCAAATGGGCGTGTGACATCCTCAAATTTTAATCTCTACCATATGAAAATTTTCATGCTCTATTTTATTTCCGCACTTAATATACATATTTTGACCAGACTGAAGAACTTGTGTTATTGGAATAGGGCGTGTGACATCCTCGAATCACAAGGTAGTTGGTTTTTCTTAATTATATATGTTTATTCCATCTTTTTACACTATATATATTTATTCCACTTTATAGTGACTCCTATTTTATTAATTTTTCAGTACTGTTCATTAGAGTGATTGGGCATCCTCGGAGCACAAGGTACCTCCCCAATGCATTTTTATGCCTCTATAACATTTAATCACAAATTATTTTCCTTCTCAACCATAATCATAACAGTTGCAATATATAATTTACAAAATTTGAATATATTTGTATTTGCTTAGATTTGCTTTTTTACTTGTTTATTTTTAATTCACAGATTTTTTAGCCAGTTTCATTACAAAAGCAGGTTTTTGGAAAATAAATAGGGAAATGGTTGTGAAGGTCCAAACCTTTCATTTTATTGCAGAATANTTTCCGTCGTGGTCCCAAACCTTTCACTTTACCGACAGTCAAAGTCCATTGGACAGATTCTATTTGGAATTCCGCTAGTCAATACTGAAATTAGAATTTTGACTCAAATTGACAAATAAAAGGAAGTGTAAAATAATAAATTTATATTTTCTATAATAAAATAATAAATTAAATAAAAACCAAAAAAATGAAAAAAAAATAAAGGACGAAGCTACAGTGCCAAGGAGGGTGACACCCTCCCTAACAGGACACACACATTGGAGGGGAGCTTTTTTTTCATTTTTTATTTCACGCGAGTCTCGCGTCGATCCCACACTTCAGTGAGAGTGGGTCACCCAGGTGGGCATTTTTTTTTCTGGATTAGTAGCTTTATTCAAAAATAAAAGAGAACCGTGAACATCTTCTCCATCCCCTACCTGGCCTACGATCACCCCACCCCACCCCCCAAAATCAAAAACCAGAATCAGTCAACCACCGCCATCCATACGTCGTCGCACCGTCAAACCATCGTCGACACTGTCCTCCACCCATCGCTGCACACCTCCTAAATCTGTATGCCTCCAAGAATAAATTTTCCGAGGTTAGAAGTTTTCTTTGTTCCAATCGTTTCTTCCAATATTTACATCGTTTCGCATTCAGATCTTCTCGTCATCCTCAAATTACCAACCTGCACAATTTATACCATCTTACTTTACCCAATTTTCAGATTTTTGCATTTTTCCATACTCTGGCATATACAAGATTTGCACACTTTCGAAAAATGTAAAAAGGATTTATCAAAAAAGTTAGAACCTGAACTCGAATCCGGTGGTGATGGATTTACAGAGAGGACAAATAAATTGGGAACAGAAGATATTGGGTCAGAACAGGAAATATTGAATTTTGTCCAATTAGCATGTTGACTGCTAGACAGTTCTGCCGGTTGTTGGCTGACACTATTTGGTCTATTTCTTGAAAATCTTCATCTTCCAATGCTTTGCCTCGCCTTTTCACATCTGCTTGTAAAAATCCAATTTTTTAATTTTGGAGAAACTGGTAAAGCTATAAATAAGGTAAATGTCGACTGAAAGCACACCACGAGAGTAGGAAAGAAACTGGTGAAGCTACTCGGAGGCCCGCCACCGTCACAGGTGGTGCCAGCACCTACTCCGATTCGTGACTAAGATGAAGTTCACGCTTTTATTTATTTATTTATTTTTTTGGTTTTTTATTTAGGGCTTGTTTGTTCCCTATTAAAATTTGATTTTAATCTAAATTAAAGTCAAACAATCAATATTAACCACTTCCTTCATAGGTCCCACAACTTTTCAACCACTTATTTCAAAAACTTCTATCACAATCTACTAAAAATCTAATTTCAATCCCTACCAAACAACCTTTTAATTTTGTTGTAGAAAATATAAATTTACTATTTTACCCTTCATCTAATTAGCCAATTTGGGTCAAATTCAAATTTTAGGGTCCGTTTGATTGCAATTGTGGAAAATGGGTGAAAAGAAGATGACTTTCAGATAAAATAATTGCCTAAAAATTGTTTTGCAGGAAATTGTTAATTAAGTGTGTTTTATTTGTATAATTTTCCACCCAGAAAATTTTAAAATTTTGTATTCGTTTGGATTTGTTTTACATGGAAATTGTCCATTAAAATGATAATTTTTTCCACAATTAGTTATAAAATTTGTTTTCATTGCCAAAAAGTAATTAAAAAACGAAAAAAAAAATTTGTTTCCTAAAAAATCATTTTTTTCATCAAAGTTTAGTGTTCGTTTGACTTTGTTTTATATGAAAATT